TGCTTCATCTTGCTGATCAAAATTAATTGAAAAGGTGCTGAGCTGCTGCAAAAACCAAGTGGTCTCACCATGTGTGAAACCTAACAGAGTCATCGTTTATGATATTTGCGAAATGAGCCGAAAGACTTGATAATAGAAATCACGTGCATACAGGTATTCTGAAACGTGTAATTTGGGTAAACATCGCTGAGGAGAATCCTGGAATACCAGTGGTTTGGTTTGAAATATTTTAGTAAGAACCATCTGTGAAGATGGAGGTGATATTGTGTTATAATTACTTGAGCAAGGGTGCTGCCAGCCCTGCTTTACAGTAGTGAGATGGTCTCTGGTATCTGTTGGCTAGTTCATTTTGGAAAGTAGGGTATGAAGGGTGCCATATAGACAGACATTCTCTAGATACAGTACAAATGCCAAAAAAGCTTAGCATCAGAATGCAATTAAGTAAACCTCTAAAACCTCTCTAACATTCCTGTCTCTAACATACCTGTGTGTAATACATACCTGTCTAAAACACACCTGTAAGTAATACATACCTGTCTAATTACCTGTCTATAACATACCTGTGTGTAATACATACCTGTCTAATTACCTGTCTATAACACACCTGTGTGTAATACATACCTGTCCAATTACCTGTCTATAACACACCTGTGTGTAATACATACCTGTCTAATTACTTGTCAACTGTCTACCTGTAGGTAACCTACCTGTCTATAACTACCTGTCTATAACACACCTGTATGCACTGTCTTTAATTACCTTTATGTAACACACCTGCATGTAACTGTCTGTAACACTTACCTGTCTCAAATTTCTTATATGTAACACACCTGTACCTAACTGTCTGTAACACTACTACCTGTTTCATATTACCTGTCTATAACACACCTGTATGTTACATACTTGCCTCTATGAATTTCCTGTGTTAAGGTACTTAGCAAATTGGGTTTTGCTTTCTTGCCTTTGCGTTCAAAAGTTAAAGCAGCTTATATAAGGGTGTACATAATAGGAACTACCTTGACACTGTGGAAGCCGTCACGCATGAAGACATGAACCTTGGAAGTTATTTGTTTATGGTTCACAAACACCATTCTATTTTTACAGACAAAAGTTATAGATCTGCATGTTTTTATTACAGAAACTATTTTCAAGGTCAGTTATACCTTTGTTGCTGTGTAAAGTGATTTATGGATCAGATTACTATAGTTGTGGCTTGGGGGAGACACTTGATATGGGTGTGTGGAGACTTTCATTTAAACAGGGTTATACCGGGATATGTCACTTCCTATAGTGCAGGGTAAAGCCACAGCATGCTCAGTGCTACCTCTACAGGCGGAAGTTTTAACATTGGCGTGTATTACGAAATCACATTCACGAAATTGCATTTTCTCAAAAAATACACTTTGAATTTAAATAATTTTGACCAAGCCCATTTACACTGAGAGTCGAGGATATCAGGTAACCAGCTGAAGTGCCTGGATCAGGTCCCAGTGTCAAATAAATAAAAGATCGGAAATATCAACACTTCTCGTGCCATATTGCACACGCAGGACAGATTTGCTGTGAAATGTATATTATGTAATGCCCTGTATAGTGAACATTCTCTGCTTGGGCGGCTTTCTAATTGCAGGTCTTTGTTGATTATACGAACACATTCAGCATAAACAGGACTCTGTGTGGAATTCTTCCGGTCCGAAGTTCACACTGAATGTTGGGTTACACTAGCACATGAAATCCACAGCCAAACACATAAGACTAATTTGTTCTGCTGTACTATATATGGGGATAGTACTGTTGCCAGCGTTTCTTACTTTCTCTGTGCTAAGCTAACAGTGGTACATATGCACCGATACACCTTTACCTGTTAACGTTGCTGCATACAGGCATGTTGACAGTGTCCTATTTCCCGATTGTTTGCCGTTTAATTTTATTTAGATAATTTAACACGTTTAAATGCCATGAGTTATATTTCGGCTGCCTGATCAGATTTCTGTCCTGTTGGTTATTTAGGAATTGATTGCTGAAATTTACCTGGAAAAGCAGGTAAAACCAGATCGTGTGTGCAGATTTGGATATCGGCTCTCAACATCAACACCAAGTTGTGTTCAATTACAACAGCTGCAGAAAACAATAAAAGCCACAAGTCATTTAGAAAATATTTTTAAAATGATATTACGTAGGCCATATGTTTTAAAATCGGATATTTATTGTCAGTTTGACATTCAGCTCGGCCCATCAATACAGCTCTGTCGTGCTTATCCAGGGCTTAGTGGGCCAAGCTGTATCTGTTTGTCTTTCCTTCATATCAATATATTCCTCCCTCTGTCTCTCCTTCACTCCAGTGTATGCGTTCCTTATATGGAAGTTGCTTCTCTTTGATGATATCAATGTAAACTTCCTCATGTCTGTCTGTTCTTATCAATTTATACCTCCATACGTCTCACATCTCGAATAAATACTTCCCATTATTTATCATGGAATACTTTTTGTATTTTCATTTAAGAAGACTACCATCAGAATTGTATAGAGATAATTATTTCCTTAAGGATATTTATTTCCTTAAAGAATATCGTAACAGTAATATATCTAAATGAGACATTAGCAGGAAAATTAGAATTTACATCAAAACATGTACGTAAATGTGTTTTTGTCTGTGGTTTGGAATGGTCAGTATATGGAAAATACTAGAAACAAAAATATCACTGGATTTAGTGCTGTTTGCTCAATATTCCTTGAATAGTGCTAGAATATGTAATATATATACTCCAGCAGGTTTCAAGGAATACTGAGTAAAGTTTGACCGATGTGTGTTCATATCATTGTATCTTAAAAAGTTAATTATTTCAAATCTGTCCTGTCATTTCCTTGTAATATTTAAGGACAAAAAATCTCTACCCCATGTTATGCAAGTAAAGTGCTTGAATACTGTATTGAAAAGTCTGGATGAATTATGACTTATCATTTTAGATAAATATATATGGAATGGTGTACTTTAGAGTTTAATCACTATTTACTCACTGTATGAAGCAAAGAAATAAGTTGACTCATTGAGATGCGTGATAACTTAAAAAATTGTCACATCTATGGTGCAAATCTTGTCACAACGGGAGTAGAAATAAAAGTTATATGGATGACCCAGACTGGCTATACCAGTTATATGAAGAATCGCCCAGCTGCATTTTACCACTATTTTAAATCCCCTTAGTTTTAGAACTTGGGTTGAGACATCCAGGTGATGAAAATTATCAGAGTTACTTTTTCTAAATAACGCAATATTCTGGAGACAGGAGCGTGTCTATGGCCGATCACGTGTCTTGATATCAATACCATGAGCTAGCAGGACTTTTAAATATTGAAGGTCCTGCCCATGTGTCGTGTTTGAACTAACATTCACAATGGTTCTACGATATTTTTCTAGATGTGTTCCTTGTTGACATGGTACATACATCTTATATATCTGTTATAGGATGACTTGCAATGTCCTATCTACTCTATACAATACTATTATTACTACAATACTTACTAGTCTCTATGATAGGTACTGATACCACAGGGTCAGTCATATTTTGTAATAAGACCTGTGTGCTCATTTCATCAAGTTGTCTGGAATTCTGAAATTAGGTTAAGATTTTTGCTATCATAACAGAAAATGTCAATCTGGGCCTGAGGTGAATGGTGACTATATCCTATGTATAAAGTCAATCTTTAATTCTGCCCATTAGAAATAGACTAGTCTATTAGCCGATGTCTGACCAGTTGACCCGCATATGTCTGGGTTCTATGTCTGACAAGTTACTGCAGGGTCTGATTGTGTGACCCTGGTATATTGTTATCATACTGTTGCGTGGGATTTGTTTTAAATCGGGCACATGTGAATAACTTTACCGGTACATGTCACACATACATGTCTGAGTATACTCCTAGGAAACAGGTTTGTCCTCCGTACATGTCAGGAATACATGTCTGGAATATTCACACAGGTATAGGAATTTAATATCAGCTTAAGTGCACATTGCAGGTTCACGACGTCAGAGAATGTGCTTCAGACATAATATTCTCCAGAGCTTAAGACTCGAGATTAGAAGAAGAATATCTTCATTGCAGTCTAGATATGTTCAAATACATATTTTTGAAATTGAAATTTCTCTTACTAGGAAATTTATGCCAGAAATATGTATTTCTTAAAATAATGATGATCATGTAATGTAAACATAGTGATGCCTAATCAGAATGTCACAGATTAGCACTTTAATGAATGTATGCTCTCATAATATCACGCAGTTAAAAGCACAATCTACAGAAACTTCGATTAGCACACTCACTATTTGTGCAATATTCCAAGTGGGAGAAGTGATAAACTAAGTTAACTGCTAGAGTGTTTGTTTGAAGTATATACATTGTCAACCCCGGTTAATCAAAACTCATTCACACCTAAAGACACATTTGAACTCTTCCAATTTAAAGTTTGGAATAGTTCATTATAAAATTTCAGGGGTGAATGAGTTAACCCAGCCCACCCACTATTAATCTAAATGTTGCACTTTTCGGCCAATGTTTAAGGGAATGGGTTGACCTTTTTCATATACAAGACTCTCAGTAATTCAGCTATCACACAATCCAGCATTTTTTGTTGGAAACAAACATGGCTGGATTATTGAGAGTCCATCATAAATTATATCTGTGTAAAATGATAAGATCATACCCTTTGAAATTTCCATGGGGAGAATACAAATGCTCGCAATTAATAACATGAATATAAGCTTAAGGTGTGTATATATATATACAACCTAGGTGAAAATAACACTTTTAAATAGCAAAGTTTGAGCTGTTCTTTTTCAGTCAAATTATCAGATCTTACTAAGAATATTCATTAGTTGAAAATGCTCAATTTCAGTTTCGAAAATCGCGAGTCTCCCTCCAAAATAGGGAGAGTTGGCAAGATCATAAGAAGTAGTTGATGATGTAATGGCCGTACTAACGACCTGTTTCTTTTGTTTCAGCAGTGTGTAGTTTCACCTATTCCAGGAAGGACCGGATACAGGCACTGTCGTTGGAATATCAGCACAAAGGTTACGCCAAGTGTCTATACACCATACAAGCACCCTCCAACACTTACATAGAACTCAATTTCACCGATCTCATTGGCTTCCAGCCTCATTTTGGTCCTGCAAGCTCAACGGACCCTAATTTTCATTTACCCAATTCTCAATCATCAGCATCAACGTTGTTGTCGTCCTCGTCACCGCTGTCATCGTCATCATCATTACCTGTGTCTGCTAAAGCAGAACATTGCTTGCCACCCGAGCTTGTTATAAGTCTGTTTACAGAAGGCCATAGGAGCCACTCGAAAACTTTTAGGTTTTGTAAAACGAACAATTTCAAAACGCCTCGAGTCTTTCATTTCAATGTCAACTCCCTGCAGATAGTTTATATATGGGAGGAGAATGTACACAGTGGATTTTCACTGGATATAGACTTCCATCAACGCAACAGTAAGTACCTTTCGTGTCATTTATTTCCTCATTGTCACCTTCAAAACAGCAGTATCTAGTACGTTACCTCCCTCAAACTGTGTATGTTTTACATGTACAAAGTCCTTTATTTTACACCGCGATAATGCAATGTATATATATTGGTTAGTACTCATCGTTTGTTAATTATAGATAAAACTGAGAAATTGAAACAAGATAGGTTTGGTGTATTTTAACACCATTTTATTCTACGGTTCACATGACATCCATAGTTGCTGTTCAGTTAAGTTTCAGGAAACATGTTGAACACAACAGGATAATAACAAGCAATAATTTGCAGAAAGTATCAAAAGCCTTTAAAAAACAATTGATATTATGCAATAGAAAAAATAGCAGACACCTGTGTTCAGCTGACATCTCAGATAATTAACTGCAAACCAGCTACTCATTTGTGATACAAGATGTAGACTATTGTAATCACCTATACAAGTTCTTCCAGACTGTGTTGTGATGTAGAACACACTCCAAGACTATGTTGTGTGATGTAGTACACACTCCAAGACTGTGTTGTGTGAGGTAGTACACTCTCCCATTCTGTGTTGTGATGTAATACACACTTCCAGACTGTGTTGTGTGATGTAGTACATACTCCCAGACTGTGTTGTGTGATGTATTACACACTTCCAGACTGTGTTGTGTGATGTAATACACACTCCCAGACTGTGTTGTGTGATGTAGTACATACTCCCAGGCTGTGTTGTGTGATTTAATACACACTCTCCGACTGTGTTGTGTGATGTAGTACACACTCCAAGACTGTGTTGTGTGATGTAGTCCACATTCCCACTCTGTGTTGTGTGATGTAATACACACTCCCAGACTGTGTTGTATGATGTCATACACACTCCCAGACTGTGTTGTGTATGTAATACACACTCCCAGACTGTGTTGTGTGATGTAGTACACACTCCAAGACTGTGTTGTGTGATGTATTACACACGCCAAGACTGTTAAATGGTGAAGTTAACACTCTAAGACTGTGGGTTATGGTGAAGTACACACTCCCAGTCTGTGTGTTATGGTGAAGTACACACTCCCATACTGTGGTCTCTGTCTGAACCCCATTGTGACCCATAGCCTCTCTCACTGTAGACTGTACCTTGCACACGAAAGTATGCACACTGCTCTGCTCTAGCTACCAAGGATTGTCTAGACATAGTAATTCCCTTAAAAACGCTACAGGATCAATGTTGCCTTTGTAGAGAAAATTCTGTGAAGTTGAACAGATATAAACAGTATTCTCTCGGAGACTTGGTGATCTTACAAATTACATAATATCAGGGACTTCTCCCCTGTGTAAATATTATTTCTATTTCACAGTAAATGTAATAGGAGATGTTATGAAATATGGAACTCAAATGGAGAATATCTATGGCTGATCACTGGAAGAAATGAATTGAGATTTATTTTCATACAGAAGTACCTACAGGCATGAGTAGACTTCTGCTTGGCATTTTACAGGAGTTGTTCTGGATAGTCATGTACTTTTACATGCATTGGTCAAATAGCCAGCACCAGGTATTTGATACAAGTGTTTGCTGTACCTGGATTGTATCAATACCGGGATTTTGATTTGTCAATACAATTATATCAACACCACAAATATTATATGAGGGTGTGTTGTTTTACCTAGATTGTAATTACACCAGGGTTTGGTGTGTTACCTGGATTGTAATAACACCAGGGTTTGTTGTTTAACCTGGATTGTAATAACACCAGGGTTTGGTGTGTTACCTGGATTGTAATAACATCAGGGTTTGATGTTTTACCTGGATTGTTATAACACCAGGGTTTGATGTTTTACCTGGATTGTAATAACACCAGGGTTTGATGTTTTACCTGGATTGTAATAACACCAGGGTTTCATGTTTTACCTGGATTGTAATAACACCAGGGTTTGATGTTTTACCTGCATTGTAATAACACCAGGGTTTGATGTTTTACCTGGATTGTAATAACACCAGGGTTTGTTGTTTTACCAGGATTGTAATAACACCAGGGTTTCATGTTTTACCAGGATTGTAATAACACCAGGGTTTGTTGTTTTACCTGGATTGTAATAACACCAGGGTTTCACGTTTTACCTAGATTGTAATAACACCAGGGTTTCATGTTTTACCTGGATTGTAATAACACCAGGGGTTGATGTTTTACCTGGATTGTAATAACACCAGGGATTGATGTTTTACCTGCATTGTAATAACACCAGGGTTTGATGTTTTACCTGGATTGTAATAACACCAGGGTTAGATGTTTTACCTGGATTGTAATTACACCAGGGTTTGTTGTTTTGCCTGGATTTTAATTACACCAGGGTTTGGTGTGTTACCGGGATTGTAATAACACCAGGATTTGTTGTGTTACCTGGATTGTAACAACACCAGGGTTAGATGTTTTACCTGGATTGTGATAACACCAGGGTTAGATGTTTTACCTGGATTGTAATAACACCAGGGTTTGATGTTTTACCTGGATTGTAATAACACCAGAGTTTGTTGTTTTACCTAGATTGTAATAATACCAGGGTTTGATGTTTCTACCAACAGACAACATTTTAGAAGGGCTTTATCACATGATTTATAGATGAAACATTATTTAGAGATTTTTTTGTTTTTCTCAAGTGTTTTACTGCCATGGAATGTTGCCTGGCATGCGAGACACTTATAAATTATATGCAGAAAATAAGCTGTAATTTTAATGTCTTGAGTAAATTATACATTGAAAGTGTCATATAGATGTATATTTTGTGAAATTCCTGCAAGCATGTGTCATTTCCCAAACAACACCCAACAAACAGTGTACAGAAAAGCTTAATTTCTACATAAATTATAGATACACCTTAAATCTATGGAGTCTGTATTGATTGGAATATGTCTGAAAACCTCTGGCAAGTCTAGAACTAGACAGGGAGAGCAAGCAGGTCTACTGTCTGCACATGCCTGCACCACTTTACACACAGGCCTGACGGGTGCTGTAGCTCGCTCGCTACGCAAACAAAATTAAAAGCAATTGTCAAAAGGTTAAGAAAAATTAAATGGGCAGAAGTGAGAGATTGTTTCAGTAGCAAATACCATAGTTTGTGTAAAAAAACACCTTGAGTGTGTGTTAGTGTCACTTCATCATAGCACACCTGCCATTGTCTGCCTGTCAAGGTCACTAGAACGTTTACATCTTGTGTTTTCCTTTACATTGTTATAGATTACTGATATGAACCATACATAAAGTTTGCTCGAGTCTTACGTGAAAATCTTACATTTGTTGTGAGTCAATATTTACTCTTACTCCAAGAATAGATAGATGATCGATTTAATTGAAATTATACAATAGTATAATGGGATTTGGCATAAAACTTTATATTGTTAGGGCTTAATTAAAACAGTGCATATTTATAGATAAAAGAGATATGCCCAGGTTATAGGTATACAATGGAAAAGAAGAAGCCATGTTTTATAAGCAGATTCCCCCAGCCCTTGAGTAAAGTAATTTGGCTGGGACCGTTTTATCTCATTTAGGGAAGAAAATATATCAATGGTAAAAGAAAGTTTAAGGAGTAAACTGCAAATGTTTGGTATTTGGCTTAAATATTAAAAAAAAAAAATGTAATGGGGCCCATTATTAACCTCAAAAAGTCCCCAAAAAACCCCTGGATATTATGTTTTTCCTTTTCAAAACAATTGAAATGGATGATTATTTTTACATCGGAAAATTTAAAAGAAGAAAAAGATATTAACTGGCATATTTTCCTGAATAGAGATATATATAGCTTTTCAGATGCCTTTGATAATGCTGTGATGGCGGTTTCTGTAATACAAATATCAGTAAGGGGAAATGTTTATGTCACACTAGTGTAAACGGTCAAGTGTCTAGACTTTTATCAGTGTGAAGAATAGTATATAATCCAGTGTGAGATTAGTCAACGTGTCTATCTATTCATCCTTGAAGTGTTATCAGTGAACAGAAAGGGGTTTGTCCAGTAGGATCAGTCACGACAGATATCTGTGTTAAGTAAACTATGTCTAGTATGAATGGTCTAGGTTATATCAGTACACAGAAAGGGGTTTGTCCAGTAGGATCAGTCATGACAGATATCTGTGCTAAGTAAACTACGTCCAGTATGAATGGTCTAGGTGTTATCAGTGATCAGAAAGGGGTTTGTCCAGTAGGATCAGTCATATGACTGATATCTGTGTTAAGTAAACTATGTCTAGTATGAATGGACTAGGTGTTATCAGTGAACAGAAAGGGGTTTGCCCAGTAGGATCAGTCACGACAGATATCTATGTTAAGTAAACTAGGTCCAGTATGAATGGTCTAGGTGTTATCAGTGAACAGAAAGGGGTTTGTCCAGTAGGATCAGTCACGACAGATATCTATGTTAAGTAAACTATGTCCAGTATGAATGGTCTAGGTGTTATCAGTGAACAGAAAGGGGTTTGTTCAGTAGGATCAGTCATGACAGATATCTGTGTTAAGTAAACTACGTCCAGTATGAATGGTCTACGTGTTATCAGTGAACAGAAAGGGGTTTGTCCAGTAGGATCAGTCATGACAGATATCTGTGTTAAGTAAATTATGTCTAGTATGAATGGTCTAGGTTATATCAGTGAAAAGGATTTGTCCAGTCAAGACTCAATACATCTATTTTAGTGTGGACATATCTGTAAGACCAGTGGCAGCGGTCTAGGTTTCTTTTCTTGCTTCAGTATAGGGAGATGTGTATGTCCAGTGTGAGTGCCCAAGTTCCTAGTTCATTTTGATAATGGGTGTATTGCCAGTTTGAGCGGTCAAGTGTACATCAGTGGAGAAAGGTATACCTCCAGGATAAATGGTCAAGGTGTCTTAGACTTTTATAGCTGGATAAGGTGTATGTCCGATTTGTCCGATTTAATGGTCAAGGTGTCTAGACTCCATATCATCGTAGAAAAAAGTCTATGTCCAGTGCGACCTGTCAATTACCTGGGGGAAGGGAAGTAACGAAATGAAGGAGACAACAAGGATCACTTTGTCTGTCCAAGGGAGACAACTGCATCTGATTTACATCCTTGGATGGTTTGTGTGTGATGTTTTGTGAGAGGCTGCTGATGTAATTAATTTATATGGAGAAATTATCAGTCTGGCGTGATATGTCTGTCTGCAGCCTGCTGTCAATAATGTGTACAGCTACTGATCCATGTGATCCAGTGCTCTTTGATTCCTGTTCCGACGACGGTGAAACGGAAAGTCTGTATCCTTCATTGTCACAATGTAGGTACATGTAAATTGATCTGTTCAATTTGTGCCAGATTTTAGGCACAGCTTATCTGATTTCAGCTTTTGATGATTTAATTGAAAATTCATCAGTGTTGGTGGAAATATCTAGGTATGTGAATACATGTGGTGCCATCAACAGGTTTACAAATAATTGAAGCTCCAGATTATTGAAGATTTATTTAGTATAACTTCTGAAAATAGGTTAGTATGTAGTAGAATCTAACCCCTGATGAAGGAGCACATCTGTTCTCTGAAACGTTCAGCCATACAAATATTTTCGGTGTTTGCAGGGATGTATTAAATTTACAGGTTAGTGATGCTATAAACTAACCACAAATGTTTAGATGTTAAATCCTCAAGATTTTCTATTTTTATTGCAACAAGCATACTGAATAGGAAATTCCTGATTTTTTGAAAAACAGCACTTAACTCGTTCACCCCTGAGGACACATTTGGACTCTTCCAATTTAAAGGTTGAAATAGTTCATTATGAGATTTTAGGGATGAATGGGTTAAGAATCCCTTTTCCACTGCAGCCAAAATACTAAAGAGTTCCACTATGGTTTTTGTACGCCCGTCAAATTTGACGGAAGTATTATGGTATGGGGTTGTCCGGCCGGTTGATTCGATGATTTTTGCAAAAGTTATTGCCCTTTGTTCATTTCAGTATTTGATTTTTGTCCGGAGATTTTCTCCTACATTTATTATAGCATGTCAGCTAACCACTCTTAGAATGATGCAGATCTTATTTCAATGTAAGAAAGTATATAACACTATATGGCATTCGGCGGGCATTTATTTTTTTGCCCCGCAGTACTCTTGTTCGTTTATATGGTAACTTCCCTTTCATTTCGTTTTTGATATAGACAATTGAAGCACTATTGGGCCAGGGGACTTCCGTCTACCAGACAGCTCAATTGATTAAATTGACAGTACAGCAATATGTAATACAGGGTTGGAATCCTAGGCCCGTACTCATGAAAGTGTTCTCAGGCTCAAATTGAGGTTTTGAGCTCAGGCCTGCAATTTCTTTTTCCGGTAATCAGCTGATAAAAGTCCATATTTTGTCAATAATATGGAAGAAGTTTGGGAAGCTTTAGAGCCCAATACCGTTTGGGAAGCTTTAGAGCCCAATACCGTATTGGAAGCTTTAGAGCCCAATACCATTTGAGATGTTTTGACCCTGTCACATGATTTTGAGCCTGCAGTGACAAGAAAGGAAGTTTGAGCACAGAATACATGCTTGAGCACGAGAACGGTTTATTGAATACCTGGTCTAACCACACTGTATATGTCTCCACCGTCTTTTTCTAGGGCATATTGTGTGACCAATGTCCATCCATATTTGGATTGCTAAATGCAATACTTACCCTTTGAGATTTACACTCATTGCTTGACAAAGGAAACAGACATTTTCAAAAGCTCACAAATCAAGCTTTAGTTACTGTTACTTATTGATGGGCTGACCGATCGATTGTAATCGAAAATTGATCGGTTTGTCCTTTCCGATTCTGATTATCTATTACAAAATACCATTATCGATATCATTGCTTCTTAATTAAAATCAAAGTGTTAAATGTTTTCAATGTCAAAAATGGATTAAAAGTCATATATTCTTATGATTTTTAGCTCACCTGGTCCGAAGGACAAAGGTGAGCTTATGCCATACCGCAGCGTCCGTCGTCCGTCACCTTTACACTACTAGTCATGAACCACTGAGCGGATTTTAACTAAATTTGGTGTGGAGCATCCTTGGGTGAAGAAGAACCAATATTGTATAAATGGTGGGTCTGGCCCCCCAGGGGCCTGAGGGGCGGGGCCAAATAGGGGAAATATAGCAAATTCTTCTTTAAAATCCTTCTTCTTCTGTAGGAATAAAAGGATTTGGTCCATATTTGGTCAGAAGCATCCTTGGGGGAAGGGGAACAAAGTTTGTATAAAAAGTGGGTCTGGCCCTTCTGGGGGCTTAGGGGCAGGGCCCAATAGGGGAAACATAGCAAATTATTCTTTAAAATCCTTCTTCTTCTGTAGGAATGAAAGGATTTGGTCAGAAGCATGCATGGGCGAAGGGGAACAAAGTTTGTATAAATGGTGGGTCTGGCCCCGTTGCGGGCTGAGGGGCAGGGCCCAATAGGGGAAATATAGCAAATTCTTTAAAATCCTTCTTCTGTAGGAATAAAAGGATATGTTCCATATTTGGTCTGAAGCATTCTTGGGTGAAGGTGAACCAATTTTGTATACACCGTGGATCTGGCCCCCCCAGGTGCCTGAGTCGTGGGGCCCATTAGGGGAAACATAGCAAATTATTCTTTAAAATCCTTCTTCTTCTGTCGGAATTAAAGGATTTGGTCCATATCTGGTGTGGAGCATTATTGAGTAGTTGGGAACCAATTTTGTATAAACGGTGGGTGTGGCCCCCCTGGGACCTGATGGGTAGGGCCCAATAGGGGAAATAGACGTAAATCTTCAAAATCCTTCTTCTTCCGTAGGAATGGCAGGATTTTGTCCATATTTGGTTTGAAGCATTCTTGGGTGAAGGGGAACCAATTTTGCATAAACGGTATATCTGACCCAGCTGTAGGCAGAGAGGTGGGGCCCAATAGGGAAAATAGAGGTAAAACCTTTAAAATCCTTCTACCATAGGGATTAAAGGATTTTATCCTAATTTAGTCTGGAGCATCCTTGGGCCAAGGGGATTCAATTTTGTATTAGCAGTAGGTGTGGTCTCCGAGGGGGACAGAAGGGCGGGGCCCAATAGGAAAAATAGTGGTAAAACCTTTAAAATCCTTCTCCGACCATCGGGATTAAGGGATTTTGTCCTTATTTAGTGTGGAGCATCCTTGGGTGACAGTGACTCAATTTTGTATAATTGGTGGGTATGACCCCCGTAGGGGCATAGGGGTGGGGCTCTGTTTGAAGTTTGTTCTCTATATCTCAAGTACTGGATGGATCTTTCTGAAATTTCATATGTACTAACAGCACCTACCATGGAGTGCTATATCTTTACTTCATACCAATTACTTTAATTATATTCAGGTGGGCGATACAGGCCCTCTGGGCCTCTTGTTACTATATATCATTAATGAAACTGAATAAAAATGGCTTAAAATCCATTCATTATTAACAACAAACCCTAATGTATAGTTAACAACTTGCCTGTCACTACAGTGTTTATGTTCAAAACAAACTTAGCAATTTATTATTCATTATTCATACCAACTGATTAATCCCATTCCAAACACTTATTCTAGGTTGAGAAGGTTTTGTTGCTTGTAGAAGGTATTTGTATGGTATAGCAGAATGAACTTATTAAATTGCTTTATTTTTTTTTCAAGTCAATATCACTTTACTGTTCCAGAATGTAACGAAAAGTATTTATTCAAACTGCATCAATTGTTTTGAATTCCTCCTGGAATTAAACAGGTATAGAACAATTGTAAATTGAAAAAAAGAGGTTAAGTTTACATGATACTTTATGACTGGAAGCAGTTGTTGATCACGTATCTGGACGAGTTGTTGATCACTTGTCTGGAGGAGTTGTTGATCACGTGTCTGGAGGAGTTGTTGATCACTTCTCTGGAGGAGTTGTTGATCACGTGTCTGGAGGAGTTTTTGAGGACAACTTGAAAAAATGTTTTCTCAAAATCGAACATTTGCTCAAGCAAGGAAATGTTGTGAACCAGACAATCCGCGTACAAAAATAGTCTGTCATAAACAACTCATTTATGACAAATTGTTATTAAGATATGAAAAAAATTGTGAGGAAAAACACTATTTAACACTTTTTACTCTTACTGTGCTATGCTATTTATCATAACTAACCTCTTTTACAGATAAATGTGTGTTTTACTGCACTGATCTGACATGTTTGACGTCGGAGAAACTTCTTTGTGACAAAGTCTACAACTGTGCAGACGGGTCCGATGAGTCCAACTGTCCAAGTCTACCCCTTCAATCTGACGGTGCTTACCAATGTAAGTCTGAACACACGTATCATATTGTTAAATCTGGTTCTTGCAAATTCTTCAGTGTGATTAATATAAGTTTGCTCCTTAATATGCTTCTGTATGCCCCACAACTTAATGTCCAGCTATATATCATCTTTGTGAGGCATTTATCTGCCTTTCTCGTATACAAACATTGCAACTGGATTAGATTTGCCGAGACTCGCCATTTGATGTTGTCTGGCCATCTCTCCTGTTGAATTTCTGTCACTCTTATGGCTGCATGAGCAAGTTCCATTTAGGAATCCATCAACTGGGGTACTCCTAACTTCCCTGAGATTACCACTACTAGATGTCAGATTTTTTACAGCTGGGTAGACTGAAACCATTGCAGAAATAGAGGTTCCCCAATGAGTGGTCACTGGTGATCATGTTTGTCTAACTCTAGTTAGCTAATTTTTCAAATTGTATGAAGTTTACCGATCTCTTTTACAGTTTGAAAATGAGCTAACGAGAGTTAGATAATATGATAACCGGCCACCACTTGTTAGGGAACCTCTGTTTCATGATAGTCAACCATTACGAGTTTAGGAACCCAATATCTAGGGATATAATATCTAAAGGAAACCATGTTTCTCTTGGAAATACATTATTCCTGTTTCCATTTGGGGAAACAATTGCCATGAAACTATGATGTCACAATGAAAGATGACTTCACAAAGCATTGTTATGTGACGTAATTCAAAGAGTGACCAATGAAATGATGTCTAGGGTGTCAGCCACTAGTGGGTAACCAAAACTGTTTACCAACTCCTAGCAGGTTTATCCAATTAGGTGGGAGTGGGAAGACCTACAGTGGTTGTGGGAGAGAAGAAGTTTTGGCATGATCAGTGACACAAAGTATAAATTGTATTGTATAACGGTTAAGGCTTAAAGAGATCAGGGCCTGTATTCATGATGAAGCCATTTGCATGGTCAAGGTTAGATTCTGTGCTCAAGCCCACTTCTTTGCACTGATGGTAGCTAATTAAATTTTCACATCTTTTTCAATGATTTAGACAAACTATGAAAGACTTGAATCTGAACACCAGTTCCAATGTCTGCTTGTTACTTTTTTATTGTGTTGCATGAGTAAATTAAGATCCCATGGTTGAATATGAGAATGATTTCATACAGAGAAGCTCCACAGGTGAAATGTGAATAGCCTCCCTTTGATTCTTTTGTGGTACTGTAGTGATGTAGGGTTTCAAACTATAACTTAGTATAAGGAAAGACATGGAAATATAAAGAAAGGCCGAGCATGCAATCTTTTTTTGACTAAATATTGATCAGTGGGAAAAAGGTGTTGATAAGGGTACGGAAGAAAAAGAGTAAAAGAAGGAGAAACAAACAAGAGCAGAATGTAAGACAGGTGAGCAGGAGTGGAGAAGATAAGTGTAAAATATCAATGACTGCAGACCAGCTGATGTCAAGGGGTGTTGGGCACAGATAATAAGTAACATTGGAACATTGATAAAAAGAGGTTTGGAATATTGATAACAAAGAGCATGAACAGTGATAGAAGGCTTCCCCTGTATCTTAACGTTAATTGGTCTGAACATTGTAATCTGGCCAAAAGCTTTTAAGATGTGAAGTTGTAGAAAGCAAAAGGTTTTTTTTCCACGTCAAAGAATTGCACGGTCTGACAAGTGAGTAATCAGCAGGATCAAGAAGTATTTTCTGTTCATACACGTCCTAGACGATACAGAAACATAGGATTTCAACATGCACTTTGCCATTGAATTCTGATGTAGAAGACACAGATACAATTATTTTGTCAATATGAACACAGGGAAAATGATAGGTTAATATTTTTAGTGTTGCTCAGGTGCAACTTGAGTACGATTTTTTTATGATTTGGTATCAGAACATGAAGAACTTAAAACAAATAAGATGAAAATGAGGTTAAGAGGTCAAGGAATAGTTATGCAGACTGCTGATTGAGTTAACTACACAGGTCATACAGTCTCAACAGGAACTAGAAAAGGTCATAGAAAAGGATATCGATTTAAAATCTATTTCTTGAATGATTTCAAGACAACATTATTTAAAAATATCTGTTTTCGACTGGAAAGTTTGTAGAATTCCTTTGAAATCAGAGGTCACATAACTGTCAACTGCAATAATTCAAAGGTTGAATGTAAAAAATGAGATGATTGCACAAATTTGGATGGATAATGCCAATATAAATAATGATATACCGTTATACAGATGATTGAAAACCTCAACGTTCAACTGTACAGAACTAAGTAGTGTTTGGCCTTTAGGTACATAGTCCTTTTTCTGTCTGTTCAGCTGCTCTAACTGTGGGGAAACCGAAGTTGTTGGTGCGTCCCTAATACTTCTTATGTCAATCTTGGGAAATCACTATTGCTCTTGTATTTTTATTGCCCTGAATTTTGTAGATAACATATATATAAAGCAGTACTGTGATTTCTGTTGGGAATTTGTAACCACCGACGATTCTAATGCAATCAGTGACGAAATTTCATTTAACAGACGCAGGAACTATATTGTCTTGTTTTTCGTCTCAGCTTTCGGAGCGAAGACAGCTCCAAATGAGGCAAATGCAGACACACTAAAGAGCAGTAGATACAAAAGATAGAGATCCGACGATGATGATTAGAATTAATGTACAGGAATTCACATTGTCTGGCAACGACACTGATACACAAACTGTTGTGTTAGTCCATATCGACCAATCAAATCATATGTGCTTTCATACAGGCAATAGACATAGAATGATATTTCCAAATATTCAGACAGATATTAAGCAGCTTAATATTCAGACACTGAAATAGAATTAAGTAATAAAAATATTCAGACATTGAAAAAGAATTAAGTAATAAAATATTCAGACACTGAAATAGAATTAAGTAATAAAATATTCAGACATTGAAATAGAATTAAGTAATAAAATATTCAGACATTACACTGAAATAGAATTAAGTAATAAAATATTCAGACACTGAAATAGAATTAAGCAGTAAAATATTCAGACATGGAAATAGAATTAAGTAACAAAGATCAGACAATGAAATAGAATTAAGCAGTAAAATATTCAGACATTGAAATAGAATTAAGCAGTAAAATATTCAGACATTGAAATAGAATTAAGCAGTAAAATATTCAGACATTGAAATAGAATTAAGCAACAAAGATCAGACAATGAAATATAATTAAGCAGTAAAATATTCAGATATTGAAATAGAATTAAGCAGTAAAATATTCAGATATTGAAATAGAATTAAGCAGTAAAATATTCAGACATTGAAAAAGAATTGAGTAGCAAAATATTCAGACATTGAAATAGAATTAACAAAACATTAAGACAGCGAAATGGAATTAGGTAAGCTTAACATTCAGATAATAAAATGGAATTAAGCTGTAAAATATTCAGACATTTGAAATGAAATTAAATGACAAAACATTCAAAAAATCATAAACGCTTTATCAAACCTTCAGACATTTAAGTTAATTTAAGGAGCAAACCGAGCAAAACATTTTAACATTGAAATAGAATTAGGTAGGAAAGTATTCAGATGTTGAGTTGTAAATAGAATTAACAAACACAACATTACTGCTTGTAATATTTGTGATAAAATTCATTTATTTATTCTTAATGGTTTCATTTGATGTATTGCTGAAGTGAAAGAATTTTCAACTGTTGCTTATTTTTTTATGCCGCCAAGGCCAAAATGCAAGCAGCTGTTAAAATGAACTGGAAACTTAGAGCAGGCCCTCGCTATATTATTGACAAATGGGAATTTGAAACTAAAAACATTTCCTTGGACAGCGAAACCATAAGTTGAGCAAACAGATTTATGACATAACGTTGACAAATGGGAATATGACAAAAACAAGTCGTGCAGACATAGAGAGCCATACACTCAATGAGATGTGCATCTGTAAACTCCATGGAGAAAAGTCATATGTTTCATTTCCTCCGCACAAACTCTCAGAAGTTTCAGATGATAAGGCTAGTAAAGAAATTTAATTTGCAGGAAAATAAAACTGGTTAGGATCAATGGATGTGTCATCACGTCAGCCAAGAAATCAATGACAGAGTCCTAGCTGTGGTACAGTGCATAATTTGAAAATCCATATAAGTATCAGGTTGTGCCTATAGCCTGCAGGGTGCAGTATACACAATTGTGCTTCACAATATTGTACAGGGTGCAGCATGCACAATTGTGCATCTCAATACTGAAGTGTGCAGTATGCACAATTGTGCATCTGTACATGGTGCAATATACACAGTTGTGCATCACAATATGCCATTGGTGTATTGTCTGCAATTCTGTAAGTCAGGATTGTATAGAATACATCATGCACAATTGTTCACCATTCTATGTAAAAAAATGGCAGAAAGTTAGGCTGTGTTCCTAACTCCTATGTCCTTGTGTCCTCTGGTAGGCTGTGTTCCTAACTCCTATGTCCTTGTATCCTCTGGTAGGCAGTGTTTCTGATTTATGTGCCCTTGTGTCCTCTGGAAGGCTGTGTTCCTAACTTCTATGTCCTTGTGTCCTCTGGTAGGCAATGTTCCTGATTTCTGTGCCCTTGATTCCTCTGGAAGGCTATGTCCCTGACTCCTATGTCCTTGTGTCCTCTGGTAATAGGTTGTATCCCTGACTCCTATGTCCTTGTGTCCGCTGGTAGTAGGTTGTGTCCCTGACTCCTATGTCCTTGTGTCCGCTGGTAATAGGTTGTATCCCTGACTCCTATGTCCTTGTGTCCTCTGGTAGGCAGTGTTCCTAACTCCTATGTCCTTGTGTTCGCTGGTAGTAGATTGTATCCCTGACTCCTATGTCCTGGTGTCCTCTGGTAGGCTGTGTTCCTAACTCTTATGTCCTTGTGTCCTCTGGTAGTAGGTTGTGTCTCTGACTCCTATGTCCTTGTGTCCTCTGGTAAGCTGTGTTCCTAACTCCTATGTCCTTGTGTTCGCTGGTAGTAGATTGTATCCCTGACTCCTATGTCCTGGTGTCCTCTGG